GAATTAAGGGCCACTGGCAGCTTAGTGCTGACTCCACTGTCACGGGGGCTTAGGGTGGGCAAAGCAGAGTCTCGCTGGCTTTGCAGGCTTAGAACCTGGGTCCCTCGTAGAACCTGAGACGCACAGCAGCTGCTTTGTGTTATAATGACCCACAGGGTCTCTACCACTAGGGTTTTTAGGAGCACGGGTCCAGGGCGGAGTTAGGGTTTGGACCCAGTGCTGTGGATCCCGGAGGTTCGTGGTGGCCCCAGCGGGCGGTCACGGGGTTGATGAAGAAGCCAGTGGAGTCTCCCCACCCACGTCCTACAGGGCAGCTCCATTTTACCAGCTTTATATGCCAGAGTTGTGCTTGGGTAAAGGGTTCCTCCACTTCAGGTTAAAGAATGAAGTTTGCCAGGCCCTGCACCATGCTCCAGCCCCGTGCCAGGACCCGCCACAGCCTGAGAGGGTGGCTCTGGCAGAGGGTGGACTGCAGGCAGGCCAGGGAGGGGGTGCAGGTTGCCCCAGGCCACCATCTCCTCCCCCTCTCACTCCTGCTGTGTTGTTGCTGCAGCCAGAGAACACTGGGGTCTGTCGTCCTGTTGACTGGGGTGACAGTTTAATAGCAGCTTCCTGGGCTGTCATTTAAATCTGCCTGCCAGGTTAGTAGGCCAGGGGCGGGCTGGCACGCCCCCTGCCCCCACCCCGGATCTTCCTTCAGCTGGCAGCAGTCGTCTTGGCAACGCCAGGGCCTGGCGAGCTCTGCAGAAGGGTAAGGGGGTGGGGGCAGCCCTTTCATCTCCCCACCCTGGGTACAAGTGGCCCAGCTGCCTTAAGGCTGTGCTGCAGGGCCGGAGCCAGGCCACCCGGTGTTGGCCCAGGCCTGGGAGAGGAAGCAGGAACAGCCGAGTCCCTTCTGTGCGCTGGGCTCCAAGGTCTCTGCTCTCCCAGTCTCTTGACCACCCTGGGAGGGGAAGGGCCTGCCCAGGTCCCTCAGCAAGCGATGAGCTAGAATCCAGCTGTCTTGTGAGTCTGCTGTGCTCTCGGAGTGTGCTCCCTGGGGCCCAAGACCCGGCCATAGAGACCAGAGAGTGGACAGAGCCTGTATCCCTGACACCCGTCATCTTCCTGTCCCCTCCTTGTCCCCATCCTCAGTCCTCCTCTAAACATGTCCCTGCTCTGAGGACCGCAGTCTTCCCAGTGGGTCCCCTCAGCTTCTCTCTGGACTATGTTCTTCCACTTTTCATGGCCACCATGATGGAACTAGCCTGAGACAGACTCTGTCATGTGACAAGAGGCCCTTCTCTGGGCTTCATCTTCTCTTCACATCTTCCTGGGTGTGACTCATTGGACCACTTTTTATTTTTTTTTTTCCAGGAAATGAATTGATGTGACATCTAAAATAGGAGTCCCTTGGTAAAGCAAGTTGGAAGTTCTGGAGGAAACCGTCCACCAGAAGTCTTTATTGCAGGCCTCCTCAGGGCCTTTACTAAGCTTTGGGCATCATGGCTCACTAAGGGAGAAAATGTGTGTACCCCACATATTTAGGTGGATGCCCCCAGCTCCCTGTCTTGCCCCCCGCCCTCCCTTCTCTGCTAGGAGCGTCGTCCATGTCGCACGGCCTCACTGAATCCCAAGGAGAGCCCTAGCAGCGTGGAGCCATGGGTTTTGTTGGCTGCTCTAAGCACAGCGGCCCGAGCTTAGCACAAGGCTGGATGGGTCTCTGATGAGCTCGAGGAAGCCAGGCCCTGACGGACAGCTTGGTGCCAGGCAGGGTGAACTGGCCCCCTGCCTCTTGCCCTCTCCCCGGTCCCTAGTGACTGCTCAGCAGGCTCTGCCATCCTCCTGGAACGCCGCTTGCCGCTCTCCTGCCCCCTTCCTCCACAATGCCCTCCTCCAGGAAGCCTCCCCCCCCAACCCCTGGGCTGGTTGGGTGGCTACCGAGGTTCATGCTGCCCTCTCACAGGCAGGCGTGAGCCTGAGCTGTCTGGTCTCGCTGGACCTTAGCTTTCGGGCTTGTAAAATGAGAACGCTTCAACCCTGACGTGTGGGATGCTGACCGTCAAGGGGCAGCTGCATCAGGCAGCCCTGACTGACCTTTGGAAACACCCCTCAGCCTCTCGCCCTGGGGCCACAGGATGAGCACGGATGGGGAGTGAAGGACCACGTGGAGCAGGCGTGCTGTCTCGAAGGATGCCTCTGGATAGGGGAAGTTGGGGACACTCAGTGATCATCATGATTTCTCAAGACCACAGACGGGGGTCTGAGAAGCCAGTCGGCACCAGCCTCCGAGGGTTGGTAAGGGTTGCCTGTGGGACTACGGCCAGGGCTGTGACTCAACACACCTTGGACTCGCACCTTTTTGCATTTCCATTTGTAAGGCCCAGGCACCGCCCCTTAGCCTATGGGCTCCTCACAATAATCTGTTTCCTGAGGCTAGGCTATGTCCCCAAATGCAGATGTGGGAGAAGTTGTGTACCTTGCAAAGGTCACACCACCCACAAGCAAGTCAGGCTGGCCACAGGCGATCCCTGGCCTCCTCGGGTTGTTCTGTTACAAACCACGGCTCCCACGGCCTTGGGCCCTGGGTTTCCCACTCTCCCCCACTTTGCCCTGGGGTCGGCTCCTCCTCGCTGCCCTCTGGAATCCTGAGTTGGCGGTGGCAGCCCATCTGTTGCCATGGCGCCAGATGGTGATGTCCTAGCCCCTGGACTATCACTCCTAGGCGTGGGGTGCAGGCACTCACAGAGGTGGCCATTGTCCAGGGGGCAAACTGGCATGGGGAGACATAAATCCCTAGAAACGGAGCCACGGCCTCCAGCCCAGCTGGGGAATTGCCCTGGGAACCCGAGCCAAGGCCGGGAGCATGAGGGTCCTGCATGGCCGACTCTGACAGCCTTAGAGCGGCTGCTTGGCCTCATCTCCTAGCAGGGCTGACATGGCCCCTTTTTGTTTGTTTAAGACAGGCACTCGCTGTGTCGCCATCTTCCTGCCTTGGCCTCCTGATAGCTGGGACTATAGGTGTATGCCACCATGCCTGCCTTTTAGGGTAGGTCAGGGCTTGAGCCCAAGCTCCAACATGGCCTCAGTACACCGACAGTGCAGGCTGTCACGGCCGGGCCTGCCTGGCCTCCTGAGGAGGGACTGTTGGGCTCATCACACTGACAGTGGATGTTCACTGGGACCCCCTAGGGGGCCATGTTGCCTTTGTCCTTGTGGCAAGGCTGCATGGGAAAGCCATTGCCTCATTTGCCCTGGGTCACCCAGTGAGGAGGTGGCTATGCCAGAATTTAGTCCCAGCTCTGACTTCGAATTCGTCCGTGTGCTTGCACTCCCGATGGTGGTTTATTCTCATTCCAGACCTGAAAGTGACCATGCTGCCTTAGTTTGCCCTGGTCAGTCCTTGAGCAAAGGCAAGTTGTCATGGGTCCAGGTTTATCCAGGGGAACCTGGCCCTCCATGCAGGCACCTCTGTGCTGTGTGGCTGATCCGTCCTGATGCCAGACAGGAGAGCTGGTCTTACCCCTGCCTGGGCCTGCCCCTTTGCCCACCATGGGCTGCCCATCTGCAGTCGACTCTGAGTCCTCATTTCTTCTTGTCCCGCACATACAGAGAGAGCTCCTTCTAAGGACAATGAAGAAAATGTATCTAGAGGGACCAGCGGATGGCGTAATGGCTATGTCGCTGGACTCCCACGTAGTTGACTGTGGTTCAAGTCCCAGACTCGGTGGCTTAAACTCACACCAAGTGCGTGTGCGTGCGTGCCCAAGATCCCAAGAGGAGAATGAAGGAGAAGGGACTGCGGCGTGGCCATCCCCCCTGGGGAGGGGGGGTGATTTCTTGCTTTCTGTCTCTCTGTCTTTCTGGAGAGCACATGCACCCTGTAGCAAAGACCTCTCCAAAAAAAGAAAAAAAGAAAGAAAATGTATCTAGAACACAGACGTACAGCAAATGTCCCGTTGAAAAGATTGTAAATCACCAAGTCATGTCCCTTTTCCTGATAAAGAAACTGAGGGCCAGAAAGGGACCGTGAGTGCTCGAAAGGCATAAAGCGGAACAGCACAGCCAAGACTCAAATCCAGGCATCCAGGAGGCAGCATGCGGGGAACAGAGACCTGGGCTGGGGCTGCTCCCGCATTCTTACCCCAGCTCTGCTCACAGCTGTGCCAGCTCAGCCTGCTCCATCCTCCGCGTGGGCACAGAACACCCCTGTGCTTTCTTTGGCTTCTAATTAAGACTCAGACCATGAAAACAGCAATAGCTGCTACTTACTGAGCATCTGCCACGTGCCAGCATCCCTGCGGCGTGCTCCTCATAAATGAGAACTCATTACTTCTCTCAGCTCTTTGGGTTTTCTCTCTCCATTATACAGATAAGAAAACAGAGGCTCTGAGATGAAGTAACATCCCCAAGGTCACAGGACTGGAGGAGGCAGAGCTAGGATTCAGTTCCCCATGGTAGCCTGGAGATCGCCCCCTGCCTGCTGTATGTGCCAGGGGGCGGGAACAGCTGTGGGTGTCTTCCCACCAGTGAACACAAAATAATTCGTTAACCTTGCCACCGAGTCGTCATCTACTCTGAAGAGTCATGATCCTAAGCTTCCTCTTGCTTGCTAAAGGGTCCTTGACTTCTGGTCTGGTTGTGGGGAGTGGGCCAAGCAGATTTGCCCAAGAACTGACTGAAGGGGCTAAAGCACCTGCCCTAAGTCAGGGGAGGCTTCCTGGAGGTGGTGATGGTGGAACTGAACTCTGAAGGAAGAGAGGTGTGTAATAGGATGGTGGCAGATCCTGTTACCCTTGCTGGACTCCAGCTCTTGGACCCAGAGGGTGGCGCCAAGGTGTTACCTGTCATCACGTGCGGCTCTGTAAACACCTGTTCACTGTGAGACACTCAGTGGCCTAATGAGGTCGTGGAGGTCATGCAGCCCTCAAAGCGAGCACATTCTGATTACCCTGTCCTCATGTCCTCGGCAAGCCTCCTGTGCCCACTAGGCTCCTCATGCTTTCCTCTTTGCCCTGCAGCCAAGAAGACCTGTGCGGACAGCGACTTCACCTGTGACAACGGCCACTGCATCCCCGAGCGGTGGAAGTGTGACGGCGAGGAGGAGTGTCCCGATGGCTCCGATGAGTCCGAGGCCACTTGCAGTGAGTCCTGGGTGGGGGGCCGCCCTCATTCTTCCTTGTTGGTTGTGAGGTGATCAGCTGACACTTCATGCTGTGCCGTCAGAGGGCTCCTGGTCAGCAGGGGTGTGTGGGTGCCAGTTCCTGGTTCCCTGTCTCAGGGCTTTCTTCATTTCTTCCCGTAGGCCAGACCCTATTCCAAAAGCACCAGGAGCTCGAAGGAGCCATCGCTCCTGAACTCATCGTTCTGAGGCCCTCTTCCTCCCTCATTTGTGCCCACCTGGGGCACAAGGCGTCCTCTGGGCTCCCCCACAACTGTGCTGGAGGAGCCTGTGCACGATTCCAGGGCCTCACGGCAGCTGGTGCCTGTTAAGCCGTGACCGTGGGCCTGGCGCTGTGCTGAGCCCTGCACTAATTCCTCTCCTCCCCACAGCAGTCTCAGGAGGCAGGCGCTATTGCTGTCTGAACTTTGTAAAGGAAGACTGAAGCCCAGAGAGCTTGAGAGATTTGCCCAAGGTCACCCAGCCAGGACTTTGAGGCTCCAGCGCTTCCCTCTGCCTGGGGTGGGCTGAGCTCAGGAGCCCCAAGCCTCTGTGGCCAGCTGGGACGTGGCAGAGACAGCCAGGAGTGAGGTGAAGAGCTGGAGCAAGCCCCAGGCCCGCCTCTCACACTCAGGGCTTTGTCTCACCATGATTTCTCTTCCAGGCCCTAATCCTCAAAGCAAACTTACACCAGGCAGGTCATTCCGTGACATTTGTTAAATTAAAAAGGAGATGAGAAGGGGGCGGGGAAAGACCCAGTGGTCTGGAGGCAGAGCTTCAGCAGCGTGAGCCTGAGACAAAAGACTTGGGGGGAGCACGTGGAGGATGGTGGGGCTGGCGGGGACCCAGGAGCCCCTCTTTAGGGGTAACAGTTGCCCCAGAGGCAGAAGCAGGACAATGAGGCCAGAGTCCCATCTAGGGCTGTGGCGGGTGATAACTGGGTTTCCTTGTCTCCTAGCAACAGAGCTACCAGTCTCTGTGTGAGTGAAAGAGAAAGAGAGAGCAGAAGCGACCCCCGCCCGAGACAATGGGTCCCTCATTTCCTCGTACAGCTGCCCCTGCCCTCCCCAGGCGTGCACGGGCCCCATCCTCTCCTCACCAGCTAGCCAAACGCCATGCTGTCCTGGAGGCGCCTGGGCAGGAGGGAAGCCCAGTGCTTTGTCCTGAGCTGTGGAAGGAACAAAGCCCCGCCACGCCCACTGTGACTTTCATCCTCATGGCAACCTTGGGAAGGAGGTGGGGGCCCACTCAGAGAGAAGGAAACTGAGGCTGCAGCAGGCTGCACTACTGCCCAGCCAATAATGGTCAATTTTGGTGCGGCCTGGGGTGCGCACACAGGGAGGAAGGCTGTGGCCACGGGGAGCTTCTCCGCCCTTGCAGCCGGCCAGCTCCAGTACCCTGCTTCGGCAGCTACCCCAGACACTGGGCGGAGGGGAGGGGGAGGCAGCCTTGTGTAGTCACTGGTTGGGGGCCGCCTTGCTGCCTGAGGGACACGCTTCTACTGTCCCCCAGCCCTGTCTCTGGGTTGATGTCTCTTTTAGTCTTCCATCCTTCCCCATTCAGGGTCCCCCACCCGTGCTCATCCCTCTCGTCTTCCCTCTCGCCGTCCCTCCCCTCTGTGCCCTGCCCAGTGCTCCCTTGCCTTTCTTCCTCTGGCTGTTCCAGCTCAAGCTGCCTGTGCAGGGGCCCTCCGCCTCACCCCTGCCCGCCCAGCCCTCTTGTATTTGACAGTTGAGGAACTGGAGGCCCAGAGCAGTACACAGACTAGCATCAGGACCCACCGCTTGTTCATGGCGGTCTCCCTCCTGTGACCAAGACAGGCCCCTCAAACCCTCTGCGATGTGACGGGGTACCTGTGGGAGCAGCAGCCGAGACAGCACCCCCCGAGATAAGCCCGATGCTCCTGTGAGCTGTCCCAGGGATGCGCTGTGAGGTTCTGCATACCTTTCCACTCTGGGCCTGATTTCTAACATTCCAGAATCTCCAAGGCTTCACAGTTCTGGTTCCTAAACTCAGTATTCTGAGGCTCTCTTCCGCCCTTGTTTGTGCCCACCTGGGACACAAGGCTCGGGATCCCCACTTCTGTGCAGTGGGTGAGAAGAGCTGCCCTGCAGGAGGGCAGCCCAAAGTGGGACTTTGAGGCGTGGGCAGAATTTGGGGCAGCGGGACCTGGTGGCAGGCTTGCTCACAGCTTCCCAACTGAACAAGAACCTGGCAGCTGACCCGCTGTCCATTTAATTGGCGTTGCCATAGCAACCTCCATAGCCTACCAGGTTCCTGGGGCTGTGCCAGCTCCCAGGATAGGGCCCACTCCCCATGCCTAAAAGAAAGATTATAGTCAGTAAAGCATAGTGAGTGCATTTCAGATCCAATATATTGTAGTTGGGTTTGGGTCCTTTAACCTGTGAGACCTCAGGCAAGTTGCTCAATCTTCTTGAGCCTCAGTTTATTCCCCTTTAAAATGGGAGTACTGATACTTGCGTTTACCAGGATCAAATGAGAAAATGCAGGTGTTGAAGTTGGAGTGAATGGCAGTATCATTTTTATTGTTATATTTTGATTTCAAGCCCTCCCCCGGCATAACAGTTTATTAGAATATAGGGGCCAGTGGGTGGTATAGTGGTTAAGGTGTTGGACTTCCACATAGCTGATTGCAGTTTGAGTCTCGGACCCAGGAGCTTGAAACTCACACTGGGCGCTGTATGTGCATGCCCAAAATTCCAAGGGGAGAATGGAGGAGAAGTGATTGCGGCATGGCCATCCCTCCTGGGAGGTGATTTCTTGCTTTCTGTCTCTCTGTCTCTCCTGTGAGTGCACACATCCTATAACAAAATTCTCTGGGGGAAAAAATGGTATTAAAATACATAAGTGAGGGACCAGCAGATGGCATAATGGTTATGTCGCTGGACTCCCATGTGGTCAACTGCATTTCGAGTTCCGGACCTGGTGGCTTAAAACTCACACCAGGCGCATGTGCGTTTGTGACCAAGATGGGTGGAGGAGAAAGGATTGTGATGTGGCCATCCCCTCAGGGAGTGATTTCTCGCTTTCTGTCTCTCTGTCTCTCTGGCAAGCACACATGCCCTATAGCAAAAATCTCTCTTAAAAA